ATGACAGCTCCATGCATGTTACTGCCCCTGAAGATCTTCCCGTAGAGCAAGATATGGAGGTGTAAGATGGTGATATTGAAAAGTTTATGAAGTAAACAAGTTAGAGTAGGCTAAGGTTAATCTATTATTGAAGAAAGAAATTTTTTAAAAATTTAATGTAGCCTACATGTACAGTGTTTATAAAGTCTGTGTTTGTGGAATCTACTTTTATCAATCTGAGACAAATGAAGACACCTGAACTTTGAAACATCTAGGATCTTTCAGGACGCCCCTACGAATGACTGTCTAGGGCTCTAGGGCAAAAGGGTGTATGTTACAATTAAGATTTCCCCTGCTTGAAGAAATTGTGGCATATGAAAATCCAAATTTAAAAGATAGAAGAATTAGAGGAGTCTGGACTCAACAACAGAAATTGTCCAGATTTTTAAACCTTTGGTTATGCTTCGTACATTAAAGATGTGTACAGAGATTTAGCAATACAAATACTCATTTCATATGGCCCAATCCCAGGATCTCTACACTGCTATTTCCTCTTCCCCAAATATCCATAGAGGTTAGCTTTCTTAAGGTCCAATGTCATCTTACAGGAATATCTTCCCTAAATGTCCTATATAAAATAGTGACAACCCAGTCACACATATTTCATAATACCCTCAACTCCCTACAGTTATTTTTTAGTGTAAATACTATCTGACATCTTCTGTATTTATTTGTGTATTGTCTATCTTCCCTTTCCCTACTGTTAAATAGGATTTTTTTAAATCCCTTTTTTTAAAACAGGATATTATAGGGCTACAAATATTTTGGTTACATGTAGTACATTTGCCTCACCAAAGCCAGTGCTACAAGCATGCCCTTCCCCCATACAGTGTGCTCCGCCTCCATTAGTTGTGAGTTTACCCACCCCCTAGTCCCACCCCCACCTGACTGGTACCCAGTGAGTATTACCACTATGTGAGCACCTTATGTTGGTCATTTAGTACCAATTTGATGGTGAGTACATGTGGTGCTTGTTTTTCCATTCTGGTGATACCTCACTTTGAAGAATGGGCTAAAGCTCTATCCAGGGTAATATAAGAGGTGCTAGATCACCATTTTTTGGGAGTTGATTGGTATTCCATGGTATACTTATACCACACTTTATTAATCCAATCATGTATTGATGGGTACTTGGGTTGTTTCTACATCTTTGCGATTGTGAATTGTGCTGCCATAAACGTTTGAGTGCAGATGTCTTTATTATAGAATGTCTTTTTTCCTTTGGGTAGATGCCTAGTAGTGGGATTGCTGGATCAAATGATATTTTTATTTTTTAGCGCTTTGAGGTATCTCCAGATTTCTTTCTTTCTACAGGGATTGTACAAATTTGCAGTCCCACCAACATGTAAGAGTGTTTCAATCTCTCCATAAACAAGGATTTTATCTATTTTCATTAGCATATCCTTTACACATAGAATTGTGCCTGACACATAATAGGTACTCAAATATTTGTTGATTGAATAAAAATACGTAAGCTCCCCCCAAAATATTTATTTCAGTGTTGTGAAATTAGAAGCAATCTAAAGTTTCAAAAAAGCAATTAACTGATTGTTTCCTATCCCTATGATGTAATACTGTGTAGACATTAACAAGGATAGAGTTAAAGACATGGAAATATTTATGACATAATTAATGAGGAAAAGCAGATTATAAAATATATGCAATGATTCTATAAAAGCAAAAAAATGCTTACACAAAGGCTACACCACCAAATATTAACTGATATTTTCAAAATGTTAAAATTTTAGAGATTTTTATGGTCTTTTTTGTGATTTTAAGAATTTAAACATTTCTGTAGTGAAACCTATTACTTTTATCATCATAAAAAGTGTTGTTACACATATCTTTTCAGAAACATACCTATTTGGATAAAAAAAGCACCCATATAAATGGTTTCATCAAATAAGATTAAGTCTTTCTTGAATAATTGTAATTTTAAAGAATAGATATGGTAATTTAAGTGCTTACTTAAAGATTAAACTCACAATGATATCACTAAGAGTGAGGCCTACTAACAATTTATAGTGAAAACAAAATCTAATGTTGAGTCTTATTCTTTCAACATTTATAGATATTCTTGGTTGGAGTGTTTCACAGATAAAGTGTGTCTCATAAGTTTGGATAGTTATTGTAGCAGTGTTCAGGTGGGCTGCAGATATTTATAGTTCTGAGATTTTGCAGTGGCTGTTCACTGCTGCAGGGATCTCATTGCTCACCTGCAGGTTGCATGTTTTAAGCACATAGCCCAACACTGCCCACTGCTGGCTTATAAAAACAAAATATCAACAATAATAAAAGGCAACTATCTTACAGGCTTTATTACGCCTAAGACTTTCAAATTACAATAATTTTTTGTTACAGAGCTTTATAATTCATAAGGAGATGCTTTATGATGGAGAAACTTAGAAATAAAATAAATATCTTTATATCCCACAGCTAGACAGTGTTAAAGATGGAGCTAGAATCCAGGACTCTTGTGTTTCTAGCTAACATAAATATGATTTCTGCCAAACTGAGCTGCCTTCTAAATTAGGTTTCTCATATCTTAGAAGTCCAAGGTATTTTTCAAACATATTCCTCAATTGTAACTAAATTATGCACAGAAAGCTCATAGCTACTTATTATTTTCAACTTTCCCTTAACTTTCCATGGTGATTAGTAGTATACACAGACAGGCATTTGAATCTCAGGACTCTATTTACTCTAGTTAATGTTACACAGATGAGATGTGTATATGATTAATTTAAAACATCACCCAGATATTTTGTTGATGATATGATAATGCTGGCACATAAAAGGCTGAATCTTCTGAAAATGAACTCGTCGCTGACTGACAGCAATGGTAACCAGCAGGATCCAACATCACTTACTGCAGACATATTGTGACTGTTAAAATCGTATGGTATTTTCGTAGTTAAGGCTTGCCTGAAATTGTGGTTCCAGTTTCATTATCTACTGAAGCCCCAAAGTAGAATTGTGGCCTTTGTATTGTACACCTTTCTTGCTGTATAGGCAGCATGTGGAACCACAGAGATGTTAACAAATGAGATGGTAAGACAGATAAGTCTAACAATTTGACAGGATATGCATATTTTCATGCCTCCTTTTCATTTGGTCACCCTGAAACTATTTGGAGATGGGAGTAATTTACTTGATTAACTAATTTCCAAGTCTGTGACTAGAGGGAGAACTCAACTTGATTTTTGTTTTGTTTTGTTTTTTGAGACAGAGTCTCTGTTCCCCAGGCTACCGTGCCGTGGCATCAGCCTAGCTCACAGCAACCTCAAACTCCTGGGCTAAAGCAATCCTCCTGCCTCAGCCTCCCGAGTAGCTGGGACTACAGGCATGTGCCACCATGCCCGGCTAATTTTTTCTATATATTTTTTGTTGTCCAGATAACTTCTTTCTATTTTTCGTAGAGATGGGCTCTCCCTCTTGCTCAGGCTGGTCACGAAACTTGATTTTGAGCAGACTCATATCAGAGTTCGTAGAAACCAAAGAGTCAGACGTGATTAATGCCTCTAGGTGGTGCCTGTGACCTATATATGGATTGAGCAGCTTTATATGTCAAAGCAGAGGTAGGACACGGAGAGGAAAATGGTCTTTTTCTGTGTTTTCAACTTAATCTTCACAACTCCACTTTATATATGAAGAAATAGGCTCAAGGAAAATTAGTTTTTTACCTAAGTCTTACAGCAACAAGCAGATCCATATATGCTTAACATTAAATGCCCAAGTTTCATTGATTTTCATGATGTGTGGTATTTTTATTAGAAATGCATAATAATATCTTTTTACCATCTGGATTTAGCCATATTATTGCCTGTATATGTCTACCAATTCTCCTTAGTTCATTTTACCATGGCTGTGGTGAAAGGAGGGGCTCTTTAGAAGCACCAGGCAGTATGATTGGTGGAGGGAAATAAATAGAGATGAGCTGCATTTGTATGCAGATCAGTGTAGGGGTAGGGGAGCCGAGTCCAGCCAAGGACACATTGCATTTTTGGAATCATTCCCCAAGTGGAAAAATAGATGAAAATCCCTGAGTAACCTGTATTTACTAATATGACCACCAGGGGGCATTCAATGCTGTCAGATTGTGGTGGTGGTTCTTCCAGTAAAATAACAGCACCGCTGGTACAGAGCTGTAATTATCTTTTCTCTCTGTCTATTCGTTCTTCCTGAGAATGGATTCACTAGGTAGATATTTTGTTTTCTAATGTGTCTTGACTGCCAGTGCTTTAATAAGAGTCTATGGAAAGTAATCATTTCATGGGATTAGACTATATGTTATATAAGAAGTAGCACACTTGCTGCTTGCCTTGATCATTGCTTTTTAGGATAACTTTCTTAGAACTTTCCATTAAGATAATGCTGTAGGATGAACCTGCCACCTTGGTTCTCAGAGAACTTTCTTCTGAACTCTTATTCATTCATTCATTCATTCATACATTCATTTGAGACAGGGTCTCGCTTTCACCCAGGCTGCTGGAACATAATGGCACTATCATAGCTCACTGCAGCCTCAAAAATCCTGGGCTCAAGTGATCCTCCTGCCTCAGCCTCCGGAGTACCCAGGACTACAGGCATGTATCACTACACCTCACTAAATTTTTTTTTCTTTTAATTTGCAGACAGGATCTCGTTATGTTGTCCATGTCAGTCTCAAACTCCTGGCCTTAAGTGATCCTCCCACTTCTGCCTCCCAAAGTGCTAGGATCGCTGGCGTGAGCCACAGCGCCCAACCTCTTATATCATTTAGGTGGCAATTCCTAACTCCCTGCTTAGTCCTATATTGCTTAACACCGTTATCTTTTCAAGTGTTGCTTTATTTCCTTCACAAGGTTAAGAGCTCTGGAGAATAAGAAATTGAAAACTTTCTCCCCATGCCGCAGTCATGTAAGGGTTCAAACTAGGGTCTTAATGACACTGGTAAATACATTTTCAGGTTCTATCCTCACCTGTTTTGTGAGAGCTCCAGCTCCCCCAGATTTTTCCAAACTAGTTCTGAGAGTGTGCCTGGGTTTTCTTCCCCTTCCTCCAGCAGTGATGTGCTTGCTGCTGCCATCAAAGGTGTCTGGACTTCCAGATTTGGGCAGATGTCTCCTGCCAGTGCTGCCAACGCCACCAGGGCTGCCCATCAAAGCTGGAGTCCTCCCTGGTTCCTTTTACAGATGTGGTCTCTTCCACTGCACCACTTAGGCCTCTGTGCTGCAAAGGTGACCCAAAGGGGAGAATTTATCTTTAATCCTCACTTGTGCTATGTTCTGTAGTATGACTCCATGCAGTGTAACCGTGTGGTCATAAAACCTTGTAGAAATCTTAGAAAAGTAGGAACTTCAGTGTTTACTGCACTTTATTTACTTTTTCCCCCTGAAAAGCTATGTTTTAAATTTTTCAGATTTACAAAATAAATTAAAGGCCCTTTTGTAATTTAGGTGGGACTTTTTTCCTTCCTTCTTACAAGTATGCCTGTGGCACATGTTGGGTAATGAAGGACCTTTGGCTTTGCTTGTGGGTACTTTGTGGTGGGTCTAGATTGTAGATGGGCACTTTGGTTACCAATAGCCTTAGTGTGGTGGCTCTTTCAATTTCTAGTGATTTGTAGGGGATAGTGGTGGTGGTCTGTGTGCCTGAGCAGATTCCTTGCCTTTTATGGACAAGGGGCGATGGTGGTTTTTGAAATCTTTTGTTTATCCCCAGCCCCCTGTGGTTTTCCTAATAGTATGAATTATATTGAGATGCCCAGTTTAATTTCTAAATCAGTAGGTGGTTCTTATGGGTAACAGTCAGCCAAGTCATGTGTGATTGAATCAGTAAACGCTGTAATGGGCTGTGCAAGTTGTCCTCCCTGCTGGTAGGTGGTGCTTGCAGAGGAGAGCCAGCTGTAATCGTGTTTTTTGAGACCTGTGTCTGGCCCTAGTCAATCACGAGAAGCACTCTGATGTCTCAGGTGGTGGGTAGGGCCCTAGAGAGCTCCCAGGGGACTCCTCCTTGTGCTCCACCACTGTTGATGGATGCAGATGGGAAGTGAGACTTGGTGGAACTGGGTCAGGTAAGCCTGCATTCAAGCTCCACAAAAGTGGGCACAGGTGCTATCTCAGTAGGGGTCAAAGGTCAACTCCCAGGCCTCTGGGAAAGCCATCAGATAGGGGCTGAATCAGTCCCACCAAGCCAAAAAGTCTGTTTGTGGGGGAGTGGCAGTCTGGAATTTACAGTCCAGGAGGCAGAAGTGGGTTTTGCTCTTCTTCCCCTTTCCTTGCCCCATGAGTGTCCTTCTAGCATCTGGCTGCACAGACTAGCTGAGCTCACCAGTAATGCCACCGCAGGCTGGGAGCCTCCCTGCCCAGGACCCCACCCGGGATTGAAAGCCTGGCTTTCCTTTTGGGGGAGGTGTACTCCAAGAGTGCACTGTGGCTTAGACTCACCCCAAACTCTCCTTTAAGTTCTGCCTGCATGGGCTCCCTCGCCTCCTAAGATTAGTTCATAAATCTCTCTTCTGTGTTTCTTAGTGACACGATCGAGTTCTAGGGGTATAGGATCCGGCCTATGGGCCTGTTCCCTGGTCCCAAGTTTAGTTCCTGACCATGTCAGGGAGAAGCCCTGGTCCCGGTTGTCTGTGGAGTGCAGAAGCTCACTTAACGTCCCTCCCCCTCCGCGTGTGGAGCAGCCAGTCAGGCGGCACCAGGAAATGCTGGCGGTTGGGGAGCCCACAGTCCAAGGACCCCTTGGTCTGCAGCAGGCCTTCAAGAGGAAAGGCCTGAGCCCCACTCTCTGCAGAAGACTTGGTGTGGTGGGTGCAGAGATAGACTGGAAGCAGCCGCTCCCGAGGGTGGGGTGGCCCAATCTTCCCGTGGGGTGCTTGGGCCGACTCTCCTGGGAACTGCCACAGCTGTTGTTGGCAGCTGCGGGCCAACACAGGGAGGGGAAGGGAGAAGGAGAGTCATTGGGTCCCCTTTGTTTCGAGGGGCCCGGCATGCCGTACTGTCCTCCCGCCTGAAGGCAGCCGGCTATGTCCACGCCCTGGGATGGCACAGTTCCCGGGACTCTCCCGCCCCTGTGGCCTCCGCAGTCTGCGCAGGTGTTGGGGATTGTCTGTGTGGCGTCCAGTGACAAGAAATCTGAAGGGCTGAAGCCCCTTGGGCAGGACAGAGGCGCGCCGCGGGGACAGGCAGGCGGTGCCCGCTGCCGCGGCCTGGTCCCGGGAGCACGGCGCCCCCGGCGGGCGGGCGGGCGGGCAGCCCGAGCTCTGTTCTCGGGAACTTCGTCCGCGGTGGCGGCGCCTGTGGGCCTGGCTGCGTAGGGAAGCTCCCCAATGTTCAGGAGCCTGTCTGCCAGACGTGAGGGGCGCAGACACACCCCACGTACCCTTTCCACGGGATCTGAACCCCGTGGGGTCAGTCTCTGCCGAAATCATGCTCCTTCTTGTTCTCCTCCACCAATGTCTTTTCTTTCTGAACCTGATGCCTTCAGTCAGCCATCTTGTCTCAATCTGGGTTTTTGGTTTTTTTTCTTTTAAGAGACAGGGTTCTCTCTGTCACCCAGGCTGGAGTGCAGTGGCATGATTATAGTGATCATAGCTCACGGCAGGCTCTATCTCCCGGACTCAAGCTGTCCTCCCACTTCAGCCTGTCAAGTAGCTAGGACCATAGATGTGAGCTGTTGTGCCTGGCTGATGTAGGGTAGAGAAAGGGTCCTGCTATGTTGCCCAGGCTAGTCTTGGACTCCTGGCCTCAAGTGATCCTCCCATTGTGGCCTCCCAAACGGCTGGGATTACAGGCGTGAGCCACCACACCTGGTCAGATTCTTATAAAAGCTGTAGTTATGTTTGGCTTGTCTATTTTATTGTTTTGCCTGTCCCTTTCCCAGTATAAAGTTGACTTAATTACTGTGATTTTTAAATAAATACTAATATTTGGTAAAGCAGGACAATTTTATTACTAGCTTTAAAAATTATTGTGTGAGCCGGGCGCGGTGGCTCACGCCTGTAATCCCAGCACTTTGGGAGGCTGAGGCGGGCGGATCGCTCGAGGTCAGGAGTTCGAAACCACCTGAGCAAGAGTGAGACCCCGTCTCTACTATAAAAAAAATAGAAAGAAATTAATTGGCCATCTGATATATATAGAAAAAATTAGCCGGGCATGGTGGCGCATGCCTGTAGTCCCAGCTACTGGGGAGGCTGAGGCAGGAGGATTGCTTGAGCCCAGGAGTTTGAGGTTGCTGTGAGCGAGGCTGATTCCACGGCACTCACTCTAGCCTGGGCAATTAAGCGAGACTCTGTCTCAAAAAAAAAAAAAAAAAATTATTGTGTAATCTTTTCTATTTATAATTCCATATTAAATTTAGAGTAATTTTATCCACTTGAGATTTTTCATTAATCCCATTCAACCAATACTTGCGGAACCCTTCTCTATGGTAGGCATTCATTGTTCTAGGTGCCAGGGAGTGGGATACCGTTGTGTATAAGATAGATAGTCCTTGCCCACATTCTCTTTGGAGACACAGGAATGTCTCCAAAGACAAAAACAGGAATGGTTATATAGTGCAATACTAGGTAGCGATAGGTGTGACAAAGTAGAACAGCAGGGTAGAGGCAAAGAATGATGGGGATGGTATAACGATGTTGTCCAAGAATGATTCTTTGAAGAGGTGGCATTTGAATAAAGTGGAGTAGGAGAGAGAGTGAGTGGGAGTGTGCGTGGGAAGGACACAGGTGCAAAGCCTTGAGGTGGTGGGTTGCTTGGTGTTCTGGAGGGTCAGTAGAAGGCTTTGTGGTTGGAAGGAGTCGGGGGCAGGGAGGTGATGCAGTCAGAGATGTAGTTGGGGGCCAGATGATGCTGGCCCTGCAGGTCTTGAAAAGCTCTTAGGATTTTAGCCAGATATTTTGATTAAGATTGTGAAAATTTATAAATTAATTTGGGAAGGAATTTAAGACAATATGTGTTTGTCACCATGTTTTCTTTCCCTTTTACTCCCCCCCTTCCCCTTCTTCTTTACATTTTATAGTAAAAAATGTCAAGTTTCTTACATAGGTGTCTCACATTGCAATTTTGGGTTATTTTTAGGAATTTTATATATATGCAGTGCTACTGTCAATGAAATGTCTGTTCCTGTTGTATTTTCTAATGCTTTATGGTATAGAAGAAGGTGTGGATGTTTGTATATCTTACATCTGAGTACTAAATTTGAGGAGATAATTCAATAAACTCTCTACCACTTTTGTGTAAAGAATTTTAATTTTGTCTTCCAATATAATAACAATTTGTCCTCTCCATTTGTATGGTTCTACTAGATCAATAGTTATACTGGATATCTTCATTTATTTATTACTATGGAAATAATTCTAAAGATTTATGTTTAAAATAATGCCATTATTTTAGAATATTTCTTTATTTGCACACTAAAAAAATTTCCTCTAATTCTGGTTTTTAAAAGTTCTTTTCTTTTTCCTAATGAATAGGTTATTGATTTTCATATTCTTTTCTAGCATCTTTTGAGATGATTATTTGGTTTTTGTCCTTTGACTTATTTGAAGATTTTCTTGTGTTAAGCAATTACTGGACTTCTGAAATAAATCCTACTTGATTATAGTAGATGTTTGGTCCAGTCTATTATTTAATCTACTTTCTTCTTATTTTATTTTGGCCTTTCAGATCTACATAAGTAAGATTGATTTACAGTTGGATTTTGGACTCTTTTTAGTTACCTTTGCTATTTGTGGTCATGCTAACTTCATAAAGTGAACTAAATCACTTATCAGTAAAACTGTCTGGTCCTAAAATCTTTTACTGAAGATAATTAGTTGATAAGTTTGGACTTCTTTCAATTTTATTAATCTTTTCATGTTTGATATTTTTCGTGAGTCAGTTTTGATTATTTATATTTTCCTGTCAATGTTTTATTTCATTTAGATTTTGGAATTTATCAGCAGAGTAATTATCTAATTACTTGTGCTTAGTAATTATCTAATTTGAGAAAAATTTCCATCTTTTATATTTTTTATTTATTGTCTTTTTTTATTTGTATAAATTTATAGGGTATAAGTGTAATTTTTTTACATTGATATACTGTATTATAGTGAAGTCAGGACTTTTAGTATATCCATCACCGGATAAATAAACCATAAATCACACCTTGATGTGTCCATACAGACTCCAGAGAGTCCTACTGAGTTTCCCCAAAAATAAAACAGGATCTTATATTTATTTTTTTCTCAAGAAGACACCCTAGGGCTTATTTTCAGGGGATGTGTTATTTTCCCCTCAAAGCTGCTCATCTTCTCTTTACCGTTCTGTGACAAAATGCATGGGTTGTGCAGATGCACTGCGTAGCCACACCCATCACTAGGTCTTATTTTGGGGGTAGGGCTTATATTGTGCAAATGCTTAGAAATCCTGCTAGGACTTATTTTATGGGTAGGTCTTATTTTCGGGGAAACACGGTAGGTATGTCTTAAGACAATCTTTTTCGTCAGTATTGTCCCACATTGTAAAAAGAGCAATAAAGCTGAAGGAAGTTGGATTTGGACTCTATCTAATGAAGAATTTTTAATAAATCCTGTCCCAAGCTAGAGTGGGCTTAGTTTGGATGGTGGCACTCCCCATCATTGGAGGTATCTGAAAATGGACTGAATGTTCACTTAGTGAATGTTCTAGAAGGGATTCAGGGCATTGAGGGAAGCAATTCAACAGGGTAGTAGTAGTATCCTGTGCCGAGAGTCCATGATTATGCCTTTTTAATCTCTCATAATGCACAATATGATGCCTTGTCACTGAGTGAACAAGAAGTCAAAAGTAGTAAACTAAAATTAATCTGCAAGAATACTTCAGTGTTAAAGGAAAGAAATGGACATGCATGGTGAATCTGGCCCAGGCTGCTCCTTACATATAGAATGTCCATGGAAACTGTAAACAAATGCTACCTACCATGGTATTAATACTAACAGTAGTAACCATGATGATGACTACCATTAACTAAGCAGCTACATTGTAACAGAGTCTGCAGTAAATATTGTGCCTATGATGTTTTATATATATTTCACAGATGTCCTTTGTGAAATTGGTACAATTTTGCCTATTTTATAAACTGGTATCTCATTTTTAAAGATAAGAAAACTGGGTAAATTAGAGCATTTCAAGTGTTGTGTATGCAAATAGATTGTAGGAATGCAAATAGATTGTGTATGCAAATAGACTGTAGGATTGTGATCTTTTAACCTCTGATATGGGTGGGAGGGGCTGGGGCAGCTGGCCTCCTAGGCCCCATTTTGACCCCGTTGTGTTGTACAAATATTATAATTCTCTCTGCCTACCAAGATGTGAAAATTGGGAAGCATGTTAAATTATCCATACAAAGTGACAGGGCTCATATAGAATCCAATTAGGGATCCAAACCAAGGTCTGTATGACACTAAGGGGCATTTTCTCTCTACTATACTTCACTATCTTTGAGGATCTGGGGAGTGAAATTTTAGGAACATCAAGTCCTTCAGAGGGAGGGAAGCAGAGGGAAGCAGCAGGAGGTGTTTAATTATGCAATATGGATTTCATGGAAAAGATGTAGATTCTGAAAACTTTAACATTATTAGGGCTGCTACATGATGTAACCTAGTGTGAGGTTAAAAATGAGGACTCTGCTGCGTGTTGGTAGACTTCCTGGGTTTAGAACTAGACTCTATACTGTTTGACTTTGGACAAATCACTCTGTTTTCTTGTGCCTCAGGTTTCTCATTTGTGAAATGAAGGTTAATTCATTTATTGATTCAATAAATATTTATTGAGGGTCTCAATAAA